TCTTCAAAAACCAAGATTTCTGCCTTGAATACTCGGCGGTTTTGACTATCTCGAGTGTTGATGGACGCAGAGAAGGGGCCCGAGCCGAAGGATCAGTGATGGCCGTGGCGTTCCTCGTCACACGCCTAGCAGCGTTAATTCCGAGCTTGTTATAGTCAATGCCACAGTTCCCTTCGTGCAGCATGAAAAAGGCAGTCAATCAAAGTAGAAAGAAAAAATGAAAGAAAAAACAAAAGCCTTTGGCCCCAGCCGAACTCCTTACGATCTTGGTACTTTCGGCTGAGGCCGACAGCAGCAAGCATCTTCTCTTTGAAGATGTAATGGTAGCAGGACAGCCAAGTTTTTGGCACTTGGGCCATTCGGCCAGTACCCCCCGGATTTCTCTTTTTGCCGAAAAGGGTTAGCAGCTCCTTTTCCTCGGCTGAGAATTCATCCGACCCAATTGCGGTCATCCGAGGATCTGGCATACTCGGATACCTCGGTCCCCCAAAATAGTTCGGGTGACCCTCCTCGGCAAGGGCCCGAATCCAGATCCACTGGCCTCGCCAGTCCTAATCTGAGGTATCATTTGGCCAGGTGGTAAGATAACCTCTTTAGGTCTCAATTTGCCACCACCCAGCGCCATAGTGTTCATCAGATTGTTGGTTCGGCATCAGCTTGTGTAATTTTCGGAACACATGGATGCTTTGCTCAAATCCATAAAAGAGGCACACCCAAAGAAATGTCATTACTCTTCGGATGCTGGCTGGGGTTAACTGGCACAACGAGATGTTGTACCTATTCAGCACTTCAACAATGAAGGAGTGCAGAGGAAACCACAGCCCAAACTACAGCTGCCTGGTGTACACCCCAATGTAACCAGGAGGGGGCCGATGAAGTCTGTCCTCGGCAGTGGGCATTCGGCACCAATACCCATCCTCTTCCATTATGCTATAGAATACTTCAATTTGTTCGGCAAAGCAATGGAGAGCGCTACCATTGACCCATCAGTCATACGGAGCGGCGATCATCAGCCCATAGCACTACTAGAAATAGGCAATTTTCCGACGGAATCGTTCCGACGAACCTAAATTCCGTCGGAAAATTTGAACTTTCCGATGAAATTACGGTATGTCAGAAATTTTCGTCAGAAAAGGTACGTTACGACGGAAATTAATTCCCTCGGAACTATAGGCTTCCGACGGAATATTCCGTCGGAAAGTTAAATTTCCGACGGAAATAAAATCCATCGAAAATTTCCGACGGAATATTCCCTCGAAAATCCCAAATATTCCGACGGATTATTATTCCGTCAGAAATTTCCGACGGAATTTCAGTCGAAATCTTAAAAAATAAAATAAAATAAGAAAACCCTTCAAAACCCAAACCTTAAAACAGCCCAAACCCCTACTCCCTCATTTCCTCCACTCTCCTTCCCCTTTCTCCTTCTCTTTCTCTCTCCTCTCCTCTTCTCTTTCTCTGTTCCTCTTTCTCCTTCTTTCTTTCTCCATTTCTTCGTTCTCTTTCTTTCTCCTTCTCTTTCTCTCTCCTCTCCTCTTCTCTTTCTCTGTTCCTCTTTCTCCATTTCTTCATTCTCCTTCTTTCTCCTTCATTCTCTTTCTCCTTCGTTCTCTTTCCTCTTTTCCTCTTCTGTTTCTCTGTGAACTCCTCTTTACTCTTCTCGTTTTCCCTTCTCCTTGTCTCGTTATTTCCGTCCCCTTCTCCTTGTCTCTAGTTTGAAGGTGGCTCTACAGTGGCGGTTTTCGCAACAACGAAGTAATGTGGTGGTTCTACGGTGGTGCAGCATAGAGGTGCGGTGTTTCATGGTTTTTTTGGTCAAATTCGACCATGAAACCTCTAAATCTAGAGGTTTCATGGTCGAATTTGGCCATATTAAACCAAATTCGAGGTGACATTCAAAGCAATACTCGATTTAAAGGTTTGTTTTCTTTTCTTTTTTTTTTAATTTATTTTACACATTGTTTCGTTGCTTGGGTTGTGGTTGTGGTTTTGGACGGTTGTGGGTGGTTTTTGGGCGGTTATGGGTGGTTTTTTGGTGGGTATGGTTGGTGGGTTCAGGTTAGGGGTTAGGGTTTGGTGTGTCTGGGTTAGGTGGGTCTAGGTAAGGGTGCGGTGGTGGTGGTGGTTGGGGGACATGGGTTTTCGGTGTTTGGGGTGGGTACGGTTGGTGGGTGGAGATGGGGTTAGTTGTGGTGGGTGCGGTTGGTGGGTGGGTCTGGTGAGGTGGTAGGTGGGTGGGTCTGGTGAGGTGGGTTAAGGTGGGTTAAGGTGGTAGGGGGGCTGGTGGTGTCACGCTGGTGGTGGGGGTGGTGGAGGCGTTTTTTTTTTTAAAAAATTTTTTTATTGACTTTTCCGACGGAAATTTCCGTCGGAATATACCTCTTCCGACGGAAATTTCCGACGGAAATTTCCGTCGGAAACCTCTCAAACTCCGACTAAAATTTCCGTCGGAATTTCATTTAAAATCAAAACGAGCTCTGACAGAATGGATTCCTTCGGAAAAGTGGCTTCCGACGGAATTTCCCTCGGAAAACGTCGAATTTCCTACAAAGGGTATTGCGACAGACTGATTCCGATGCAATTCCGTCGGAATGCCGTTTTTCGACGGATTTTCCGATGTTTCCGACGGAAAAATTCCATCGGAATCCAGTTGTTTTTTTGTAGTGTAGTTCTGGGGGGTTATCCTGCTCTGTGACCCAGCTGGCAAGTCACGGGGCCCAGTCGCCTAGACGCTGCCAGAGGTGCTAGCCTCTTCCGAGCCTCGAAAAGGCACTAACGTCAACGGCACTGCAGCAATGGGATCCTCACCCGAAGAAGTCCTAGTTTCCATCCTGGGACGAAGAATTCTGTTGCTAAAAGGTGGCATCGGCCCAAGTGGCCGATTGCGCCGAGAAAGTAATTGAGGAGTTTCCTCCTCCTCTTCAGCAACTACTGGTCTTTTTCCTCGGTTTTGAGCCATATTTGCGAGAAATCGAGAAATCAAAGAAAAGGGGAATGCTCTAAAAATCAGGAAAATCCAAACAAGTTTCGGAGAAAATTACCTCTATCAGACGCGGAATTTGCTGATCTACACGTTCGGAGCAGCGAATTTCAGTCTAAGGTTCGAAATTGCAGAGAGTGCTCGAAAACAGAAACACGGTTTGCAATGGGTAAATTGCGAAAATCAGAAAGTGTTTGCAAAGAAGTGAGGAGAGAGAGTGGAGCGAATGGCTATTTGTACCTTTTTTCTGGAACAATTTTCTAGGAATTCGTGCCACTAAAAACCCCACTAACTACCCTTCTCCACTTAATTACCCACTAAACCCTCTAAATTCCACCATTACTCTCTAAAAACAGTAGTTACAACCTCAATAACTAACTAAATCCAAATTTAATTGCTAATTAAAACCATTTACTTCCCTCCAAATTTGCAAGTCAAAACCCGACCCGTCAATCTACCGAATCGGGTCTGGGGGCAAGTTGTTTGGTCCAAATGTCTTTCATTGGGCCGGTGCAAAGGTTTTAATTACAAAGCCCAAAAGCAAGGTTCAACTATCTCAAACATGCCAAGTCATATAAGCCCAATCCGCATGATAAACCCATCTGACTTCAGGGCCCAGTCCATCCAATGAGTAAATGTATAAAAGCCTTCAATTGTATTTCTTCACATTTATTCAATACAAGCCTCAAGCAATTAATTCTCTTGCATAGTTTTCTCTCTCAATACACTGAACTGACTTAAGCATCGGAGGGGCCTTACTCGGCACCACCCCCGAGGCTAGTTTACGTGTGTTTGCTGTGTAGGAAATCCTCGGCCCAGTCATCACTTGGACCGAGATCAGTCTTCTCCCATCGAAAAGGACCTGCCGAAGGTCCTATTATTTTAATCTGAAACAAGCCTTATTTAAGCCCAACTTCTATGTTATTGCTTTTATATTTTTTTTATTTTTTTATTTTTTATTTTTTTTTGTTGGATAAAAATTGTGAGCTATTTCCTTTATAATAATAATATTATCCTCTGTTCCTTTTCCTTGAATGAAACTAGATTGAAGGTGGCTTCTTAATATCCTATACAAGTTTCAAATTAGAAGAAATCAATGTTGTGACTAATGTATAATCGTGTTACAAAGACCAATAGGTCTAAATTGAGATAAATTAAATAAACTGGGTTTTTCAAATTAGGGAATTAAAGAAATGTAAGATTTATTAATGAAGAAAGAAAGATACTTCGTATTTTAGTAAAAAAAAATGAAATTTAAAATTAATGATTAATTTTTTTACTATTGTATTTTCTACAAAACAAATATTATCAACATTATTATTCCCTTCGTGATTTTTAAGTGGTACACTTTGACTGGTACATAGTTTTAGGAGTTTAATAGAGTATTAAAAAATTGCAAAAGAAAAATAGTGAGGTTAATAGTTTATTGAAAAATAATAAATGAGAGTGAGAATAAAAGTATAATACTTGAAAAAACACGAGTGCATGTAACACTTTAAAAAAACATAAAGAGAGTATTTTCCATCATATTTGGTTACGTAGTACAAAAACAATTTAATACGGATTAGGATGTTGAAGACATAACAAAAGCTGAAATTTTGAAAAGCATGTTGCTATTTATTGGAAAGGTTATAGCTAAAATTAGATATTGTTACTCACTCATATTATTACTAACTATTAAAATAACTAAGGCTATTTTTAAACTTATTCACATATTTGCTCAATTTTAATTTTCCAAAATTCAATGTATTGCTGAATATAATTAACTTGGTTGAAAACTTGAAATTGAGTAAATTAATCTAATTATTCAATTGAAAAGATGAATAAGACTTGATAAATCATTGCAAAATGATTTGCCCTCCTCTGCTACCTTACAAAGACAGACAGAGAGAGAATCTGGAGTTCTGTTGCGTGCTGCGAGATACTTATATACAAGTGTTGTATGGGCGTTTTGCGGAAAAATTTTGAAAGAATAAAAAACTGAGAGTGAGGCGATGATGAGGAGCAAAGCTCTACTTTATATAGCTAAAAAATTTATACAATAAGAATGAACACCATCAAAGTTCGTTATACAACATGTCGCCCAATCTCATTGGAGCTTTATATAGCTAAGCCTGTAGATTCTTGCCACAAGTTTCGAGTTCAAAACAGAAAACACATGAGCTAGGAGAAAAAAGATATTAAGCAACTGAGATACTGAGGTAATGTGCATTAAGCCTGAAAAAAAATGGTTTCATTGATGCTTTCGCTTCTTTCTAGGGACACTTGCATCTTGCTGAACTGAAATCATGAACATAGTAGCAGCTTTGGTCATATAAAATACGGATATTAGCTTCCTGGTAACATTGCTCCTTCCCTCTTGCAGTGGAGTGGTGACTGGAGTCTCTTCCATTAACGTTCTCAACATCTCCATATGAGTTTGTATTAATGCTTCCATTTTCTCGTCATCTTCATTAACCATAGAACCTGGAAAATAGACATTCACATGCACCACTAGCTTAGCAATGCAAAATTGAACCCAAAAATATTCGGGTATAAAAAATGTACTCGCAGAACTATATTTCTTCAAACAAGCAAATGAAGCCATATTTTTACCATGATTTTGGAAATACCCGCCTTGTGCTACATACCCTTGACAGGCTTGATTTGCTGCTGCAGCATCATGATAAACATTTGTGGGTGATATACTGCCCATTGAAAGGCTGTTTGCATCCAGAGTATGCCCAAATCCACTTACATTAGAAGTCCAACTTGGTGGTGGCAGCAGCGGTGGTTCTTGAATAATTGATAGGTTTGTGAGCTCTTGATCAGAGTTTTGATGGGTAGGGGTTTTTAATTTTGGAAGCTCGCTTTGTTTTGCATTCCTTAATTTAGCACCTGAACAAAGAACAATGAAGGAAATGGAAAAAAGCTAAATGCAAAGCATTTCTTAAAAGTTACATATAAGTGAAGACTACACTTACTTTTTCCGCGGCGTTCTTTGACCCTGATTGCTTCACTTACTGCTGCCATTACCATAACTCCAGGGGGAAGACCTTTTACAATTTTAGCTCCTAGTCTATATTTTTCACTTCTCGTTGATTTTGAGTTATCAGTGAAAGCAATGTGACTGACACTAGCAACTCCTCTGCTCATTTTAATCTCGCAATTTCCCTTCAGCAGCGATCCTTTGTCCTTCCTTGGAGGAGTGATATTTTTAGTGTATTCCTCTGTCAAATCATTTCTACCTTCGACATCAAAGTCACCATCAAGAACATCAATCTTTATCTTCAGAGAAGATTCAGGGCCATAATCAACTCTGTTGTCAGATTTATCAAGCAACTCCACTTCAAGCATAACATCCTGATCTGCTATTTTGGTCATGGTAAAGAGTGTAGCAGGTAAATCACCCTTAAATTGCAATTTTAAGCACCTTGATGCAGATGGCTTATCCTGTTGAGGCAACATGCTGCGACAACAGTCAACAGTTAACTGTTAAACTATCAAAACAGTTGTAGTTGGATCATAAAGAATTTAGATTCGTTCATGACCATAAATTCTTTCACCAAGCCATACTCCAAAAGTCAGGTCTATAAAGAGTAAGAAGTTAAGAACCCTGGTTTGATATTTGGTTGTTACAAACAACTACAAAACCTTTCTACATAAAGAACTAACACTGCTAGGGATCTACTTATAGGCCAATTAGATGTTCCCTTTAAATGCAAGATATGAGACAATTACTTTAAATGGCGGCGCGATTAATAATAGTACAAAGTACAAACCAAAAGGGGCAAGATCATATGCTTTGATATAATTAGCATAATCTCTCTTCTGGGTAAAGATATTCATCACTGTTTTTAGTCAACCAATGAAGTCAATGATCTTTTATTAGATGTTTCCAAATATTTATACTTGAATGTATGAACATCTCATTTTACAAGATATATGCAAATCAAACACAACCCATAACTACAAATCTACAACTAAGCATAACAAAAATTCACAGACAACCAAGCTATACCTTGAATCAGGAGGCAGGACACATTGTTGCGACAAGGGGAGATGCGGTCCAAGAACTCGAATCAAAGCCTTTTCAACCTATAACAATTACCCAATACGTAAACAATCTTACCTCTAATAGCCTAATCATTCTAAACAACAGGGTACTACGTAGAAAACCCTTTTTACGAAAAATTTAATAATTGGAATCAGAAGTATGATTGAGTAAAAGAATAACACACAATCTATGACAATAAAATTCTACAAAAATCCATCAAAAAAAGAAAAAGGAATGCTAAATTAATTACCTCTTCCCCAATTGTAGGCTTAAGGTGGGCCAAGAAATCTTGCACCCATTTCACTTCCCCTAAATTAGTAACACCTTTACACCAACATTCCCTAAAAGTTATAAATACGCTCATTAGAGGATGCTAATTGCTAATCAACTCATAAACACAGAATTAATTAATGATTAACAGTTGCAATGAAATAAATCCCAGATGAAACTACTTACTCAGGAGGCTTGGATTGTTCATTGAGTTGTTGATCACCAATGAATCTTCTAGAATCCATGGAATTTCTTGTACCCAAAATTGGAATTACCAATAAAAAGAGAGTTTTTTAGGAGAGAGAATGTGAGAAAGCAAGAAGTTGGGTATACCAAGCAGGCAAGCACTACTGCCTCTCTATATAGTGAAGACAAATGAAATTTCATGGAAATGTTGATATTTCAGGTAAATTTTGAAAAATAAACTGAATTAACCAACTAATTTTGTAATTAGGGAAGGGGGAATATACTTTTTTGTACAATATTTCTTAAAATAAAAAATTGGCGGCTGATTCAGTGACTGCATTGAGCATAATTGCCGTGACTTTGAAGTTTGACGCGGGATATACGCGTTCATATAATCTTAGGACTTAAAATGCTGACATTTGGCTTACTGTAACAATGATTGCATCTACATCAATGTTTTTGTTGGTACTTTAATGGTGTCGTGTGACTTGTTGGTACTTCTAGACCTCGTGTTAGTATGGACTACGTACTACAATATCTTACCAATAAGAGGTTTATAGCATCAAAAGACAAACATAATTGGAGTTTACTAGAGAATATATCCTACTTCAAGAAGTTAATGATGTTTTTAACTGATCAGCTTCTATTGTCCCACAGTTTGATGATTCCATAGCTTTCTTGCGTTAGATTTTTTTGATATACATTTCTGCAACATAGGATTCAATATATGAACTATACAAAACACTATATAGTGAACAGGCACATTTTTTATCACCTGAGGCTGAGGATTTCATGTATCAATCAATCATTAAGTAATGGCTTAATTGAGGTTACCTGGTTTTCATTACGAGTTTTATGATTGTTTCTTCATGGAATGTATCATTAAAATTGGTACAGATGAAACACCAGCTCAGGTAAATACAACTATATGACTCAGTAGGTGAAATCCTTCAATATTCTTACAAAACAAACAAACACTTATTGGCTTGTATCGAATCAATGAATCATCTAAACTTTTGTCCTGCATACAGTGAAAAAGCCATTATGTCTTGCAACTACAACGCCTATGGTTTGAGTAGGGGTCCTGTCTTTTGCTTCTTCTGGGGTCTGCAACTATCTATTCTTCTTATCCTTACTAAAAAATTTAACTTAACTCCAATTTTCCTCCAGTATACCCTATGCCTGCTTGGAGTTTTGGTCCTGAACTCGTCTGGATTACTTGAAACCCGTGTGTCTGCAAGAGAAGCCTCTTTCTCAGCCCAAAGGACTGCAGGGCCTTTGTAATTGAAATTAGATGACAATGTGCTTGAAGCACAGCAATTCACTTGTTGCATTCCTGTATCATCTACACAACATCAAATGAAGGTTATGTTTTGGGCGTCAAAACAAAAAAAAATCAACATCTAAAACCCGGTTGGAAAACATAAATCAAAAGGCAGAAAGAACTCTGAAATTCAGGTTTTTGATAGAATTTTCATACCTAGATAAAACGGCATATTAGGACACGAATAGGAAGCAAGAATATTTTCAGGTGGCAAAGACATCGGTGAGTCTAGCCTATGACCTGATATCAGTTGAGGCATATTAAAGGCAAGACTTGGGTTGTTATCCTGTTAAATAGGTAGACCAAATGGTTATCAATTAACAGTTGTTACTCATATAACACATGATTAATGTCTTAAAAAGAGAGAATTTGTTCTAATTGGTTTATGATAACTTACCCCAAAAACACCAGCTGCTTCAGTAGCGATATCCGTGTATAGCCAAGATTCGTCTGAAACTTGAAGAGTTAGTGTCATTCATGATTCATTACAACGAATAAGGTTCAAACCAGCACCAGGATAGAATAACATCATAGACTCAGCATAGATTTGGTACCATGCATGAGTCACCCATGGAAATTAAATCCTTTTATGGATTCACATTTTTGCAAGTTTCACTTTATAGATTCTTTTTTCCAGTTTCTCAAGTGATCTCTAAAATTGCAAAACCTACATAGTGTGCACATTTGCTATTAAGATAAGTAGATTGTAGATAACTTAACTCAAGCTTAAAAGTTTAAATTACTAACCTACTTCCTAAAGTTCTAGAAAATTCGCCAACCACCACCAATGCCCACCCTTGTGGCCCTACTAAGCACCGCAATCCCCAACCACCAAACCCCACACCCATCCACTGACCCACCAATGAAGCTTTCCGAGGGTTGGGTAGTGAAGGATTTTGTGGGAGAGTGGTGGTTTTTGGTGGATGGATGGTGGTTTCAAGTGTTGGGTGGTGGTTTTACTTCAATTTAATATTTTCACTTTTAGTAAGGCGTGTTTGTTAGCATTTGCTAATTAATAAAAATTAAAAACCCACCAAGTGGACTTTGCAAAACTAGGAGACCACCATATAGAAATTACCTTTTGTCATACCTTGACAAAGCGGATAGAAAGCTGAATCATTTTCAGGACAATACACCAGTGAGTCGACCCCATGATTTGGTGCTTGCACAGGCAAGACTTCATCTGCAACATCAGGAAAGAATATCATCATAGGCTCATTGCATAGATTTGGCATCATGCACATTCCTATAGTCACCCAGGGAAGTTCCTTATCATGATTCCAAGTGGAAAGGCCTGCAGAGTTACTTTGCTTCAAACAAGTAATTAAGTAACAGGATTATATAATCAGTGCCTATGACTATATGGAGATCCGAGGGTGCACCGGTTCGAAGAGTGGAAGAGTGGGAACATGGAGGGGTTAAACGAGGGAGAGGGAGACCGATAATGACTTGGTTGGAAGGAGTTAGGAAGGATATGAAGTTTATGGATTTGCATGAGGATGAAGCATTGGATCGTAAGGGATAAAGGAGGAAGATTTTTGTGGATGACTACACGGAATAATCAAATTTGGTTCATGTAGCCGACCCCGCTTATGGGATTAAGGCTTTGATTGATTGATTGATTTCCTTCAATTGTTATTTTTATATAGATAATAAAGGGATCCTTGTTCTAAGCAAAATCTAGTGAAGGAGGCAATCATAGCAATTGTATGAAATTGATTGTTTTTTTTTCCCTGTAATAATATCAGTTTTATCCTGAAAGTGCCCTAAGATACTTGTTATCTGATTGACTGTCATTTGTCTATACCTTGATATGTTGCTGCAGTACCAGGATACTGCAGAGGTAAATTACTGCATATCTGGTCAGACAAATTACTTGCATCCATGTTTTGTATGAGACAGCCTACACTGGGTTTACTGTATGGTGGGGGTGCTGCAGCTAATTGTTGCTCTTGCTCTTTTTGTTGTTCCTGTTGTTGAGCACTAGATGGATATGTGAGTTCTTCTTGAGTTGGTACAATTAGTTCAAGCTTATGTCGTTTTTCATACGCAGATTGCCTTAATTTACCAGCTTTTTCCTGCAAAAGGAGTAGAGAAATCTAATTAGAAAATCTAAACCGCAAGTTTATATATATTGGACAGTCGTGCATGAGCAGAATCTTCCTCTTTTTTTTTTCCCCTCCCTAGTTTAAAAAGAGCTGGACGGGATCAGAGACAGAATACACCCGGTACCTTCTGGGTAAAATCAAGAGATTCATAAAGCCGGGTTGTTCCACCCTTGAATGTAACCCTTTTAATGTTGAAGGCACAATCTAATATAAGATCATCCCCTGATGCATCATCATAGTACCGATACTGCTCTTTGGTTAATATGCATGCCTCGGCATTTTTTACAATTTCATCCCACTTTGTTTCAGGAACACCAAGAATCTGATAATGACAAGAACAGAAGAAAATTTAAAGTAATCAGCATAAGACCTGTAAGCAGAAGTGATGCTTAGAATTTAGCATGCTTAACAAAGAAAATAGTCCTTACAGCTTTCATTTTCTTTTCATCAGTGTGATAAAGTTGTAGGAAGTCCTTCACTGTGAATTTTGTTTCCTGTTGCCCTATGACAAACTGGCCCAGTTTTGTTTATATTTTTCAATCGCCATAACTCATCTTCAGGAGACGGAGTTGAATGCTTTCGATCACCTGAATGAATAGGTAAATGCCCACAATTAGCACTAGATGAACATCCAAACAAAAAATGAAATATTGAGATGCTAATTAGCCTCTGAAGCAGCAAACAAAAATAATTAAACGAGATATGCTAAGTTCGAAACTGTTTGATGAGAGGTATACTTAGTTACTTGCCTTTTAGGCGGCTTTCTTTCACACGAAATTCTTTTTCACTTACTGCTGATCTTACAACCCTTCCAGAAGGAAGACCACCTATAACTTGAGCCCCAAACCTAAATGTTCCATTTCTCATTGACTTCGAGTTATCCGTGAAAGAAAAGCCACAGACAATAGCAACTCCTCCATTCAATGCAAACTTGGTGTTGCCCTTCAAAAGTGACCCTTTATCTTTCCTTGGGCGGGCAATATTCTCTTTGAATTTCTCCTCTGTCCAATTTATTTCCTCCTCGACATTAAAATCACCATCAAGAACGTCAATCTTAATCTTCACACAAGAATCAACACCAACTTCTACTCTTTTACCAAACTCATCAAGCAACTCTACTTCAAGTGAAGCACCCTCATTTTCTATATTGCTCTTGGTTAACATTTCATTAGGTATTTTGCCCTTAAAGGACAATCGAAAGCTTCCTGGTGCAGATGATTCGCCGTGATCAGGGAATGAGCTGCAGCAAGGGTTAACATTAAACTGTTAATTCTGGTATAATGTCAAACATTTTGGATGTCAAGTACATATGAATACTATTTGTAAAAGATGAGCCCCTAAACATCAGAACATGTACACTCTTCAAATAGACAAATTGTAGCACAAATGAAGAAAATAAAAGGAATTTTGACACCACTGAAACTCATCACTTATTTGAGAATTGTACTATGAATGAGCATGTAGTAAATGATATTTTGCAACCAGTATAATTTTCAATTCATCTAAAAAGTTTCCGATTTCAATCCATGACGAAACCAGATAAAATATAAACTAAAATTTGGATATCCAAATCTGATCCATATTTTACTAATGATGAATAATATTAAGCTTGATCATTACGACGCAAAGCCTAACTATTGCATTATTAATTGAACTGATGCACGATTATTCTTTAGAAGCAAGCATTGATGTATACCATAGATAATTTTTGTGCATTTTGAAGGCCATGAGGTTTAGATGCTGTGTTTGATAATTAATGAGGAAACTAAGTAAATATGTAGAAATGCATAGATTCCACAATTTAATCATGTTTTGGGAGAGAAAACAATAAAAAAGTTGTAAGATTCAAAACATTGAAAATACTGGAATCCTTATGCTTATAATTGGGCGGAGATTATCCAAGTTTATCTCCTTGATATTTACCAAAGGACAAAGTTGTAAGTGAATGCATTTTGCTCCTTGGTAAACGAAATATGGTTATCAAGGAGATAAAATTAGGGCTCCCTCGCATTAGTCTTCTTTCAAACCAATTGGAATATTTGTGGAAATCTAAGAACATTGATGTTTCCATTGATTTCAAGGAAAACTAGAGCCAAATTATAAGCAAACAATGGATTATTTGGTAATCTCATTAAACAATCAAACAAATTAAAGTAATATATAAAGTACTTTGTAAGTACTTTTCCAATCTATATACATACTACTTCGAGTATGTAGTAGTCAAAAACATCAACAAAACATACAACAAAAGTGGATTACAAATTAATTTTCCTCTCTCAAAACATTAATTTAAAGTCCTATTACTTCACCTAAACAGAATGCGAATAATCCAATTTACAATCCGATGAATTAATACATCGTTAATCTTATTAATTGGAAGGAAAAAAAAAAAAAAAAAAATTGGATCAGCTAGTAAATAAACTTCGTATTAAATACATAAAATAAAAGCATAAGTAACCAAACAATACCGTGTAGTTGGAGGCAGGGCAGAATTTTGCAATAGAGACAGCACTTGATTCAGTTTATTTTGAACCTATTCACCAATAAAAAAATAATAAAAAAAAAAAAAAGAATATTTGTCGAATCAGACAAAAAAAAAAAGATTGAATCAGTAAAATCTACAATTCCCTGCCAAAAAATATACTGTAATAAATAAAATTGCATTGATCAACGTTAAAAAAAAAAAAAAAAACCTCTGTAATTGAAGAATTAACTTTCTCAAATGAAGATCGAATCATAGTTACACTAGCACCACTACAACAGCAGCTGCATAGCAAATCATAGAAATCAAAATCGACACTTGAAATGATAATTCTGAATTATTTTTATGTAGTTATTTTATAATTACTAAATAATAACGTAAAAATTGATAAATTTAGACCTTTAATTAAAAAAAAAAAAAATATTTACTCACTTGAAATGCTGATGAGGGTGTTCTTCACCAGAAAAAATTCCAGATGCCATACCAAGTGAAAATTACCCAAATAAAAGAAAAAGAAAAAAAAAAACTTTTTCCAAAAAATATGCAAAAAATTAAAATCTGGGTTAAGAATTGAAAGGCTAGGAGAGAGAAAATTAGCAAAAATAAGAGCCGCCTCTGTTTTATTTATAAAGAATAGAGTGCAAAGGTGAGAGGACCTTGAAAATTCAATGAAATGTAGTTGCTGTAATAAAAAGAGAGGGATAAAATTAAGTGATCTACTCAGTTTCTCCAACATTGTAAATTATTTTCACCGAGTTAAGAAACTTTGATTTTGGCCATGGCTGAGCAGTGAGCACCTTTGAGGCATTGACGAAGTCATAGTCAGAAGAAAGGACGGTCTTTTTTTTTTTTTTTTTTTTTTTTGTGGAAGATAAAGAAAGGAAAGCTTTTGATAGTGAAACGGTAGTCAATTAGTCATTAGTTGGATGAAAATGGATCTGGACCCGGCTGTCAATTAGTCATTAGTTGGAAGACCCGGTTATACTCGACCCATATTTTAGGGTTTGGGTCCTAAAATTTTAGATCCGATGGATCTGTATTGGATCTGGATCTAAGTTTAATGGGTCGATTTTGGGTTCGAGTCCAAAAAATTTAGACCTAGATTCGACCCTCTCTTATTCCTTTTGTATTTTTTAAGTGTTACACTTTGATCAAATACAATTAAAAAGATATTTAATACTCCTAATAATTAAATAAGAGATTAAAATTTTTATGTATGGCTGGCCACACCGTGTGGCCAGGGTTACTTATTTAGGGATTACTCAGTCGATCGGGCTTACTTGATCAGGGGTTACTCGGTCGATCAGGGGTTACTCTCACACAGAAAACGCGCCTAATCGATTGAGTAACCCCGTAATAATTAACCCTTGACCGACTGAGTAATCTCTAAATAAGTAACGCTAAATAAGTAATTTCGGCAAAAATGCGCTAATCCCAATTGAGTAACCCACTATAAGTAATTCTTGACCGAATGAGTAACCCCTAAATAAGTAACCCCGACCACACAAAATCACCGGCCAGACTGTCACACAAAAAAAGCATCGAAAATTTTAATAATCCGTGGTTTATACACACGGGTGTACAGTGCTCATCATACACCCGGATAAATAAAAAAAGGCGGAAAGAACATCCTGTGTTTCATAAAGAACATACATGTATTTTATAAAGAACATGTTTGTATTTGACAAAAACATGCATTACCAAAGAACATAAAGATATAATTAAAAGAACGAGATAAAAACTTAATTAAATTTTCTGAAAAATTACACATTATTAACGGAAAAAATTTAGAGGTGATAAAAAATCTAGTAGGGCCGGGCCATATCATAATTTATCGTGCCCAAACCCATAGAAAAGTAGCGGGTTTTCGGACTTTTTTCTAACCCGATTTGAGTTTTAACTAAAAATGCATTTTTAGGTTTGCCCAAACCCACCCTATTTCGGGCCGGATCGGGTCGGGATGCGAGTCATGCCAATGTTGATCACCTTTTAAAAAATCCTTACCAAAGATATCATTTTTCCAAAAAATAGTTTTCTATCTCTCCAAAAAAAATTTAACTTCCCTTAATAATTTAGTTTTTTTTTACTCTAATATTATTTTCAATTAAAAATAATTTAAGATTCAATATCAAATTTCAAAATACCATATGTTAAAAGAACATAATTTATATTGTAAAGTACATATAGTTAATACCTAAATAACACACTAATCAAACTCAAAGAATGTACGATAATAAAAGTAATTTAAATATGACATATGATAATAAAAATAGAATTTGGGCATCACTACGACCTTAAAGAACATACACGCCAAATTCAAAGAACATACTTTGTATTATTAAACCTAAAAAAACATATATGTTTATCAACATATGTTAAATAACATAAGTTATAATGCAAAGAAAACACTGATCACACTCAAAGAACATATTAAAGGTATGTTCTTTGCCAAACATTGGTATATTCTTTATCAAACACTATATGTTCTTTCCGCCTTTTTTTGTTTACCCGGGTGTACTATGAGCATGGTGCACCCGGGTATATCATCTAATTTTCAAATTTTAATCTGGTTTGTTTACGTAACAAGTACTTCGCAAGTTAAAAGAGAATAAATCTTTCCAAAAATAATCCTAATTGTAAAGAATATTCTAGAATTTTAACTACAAGTACTCCTTATCAAATATCAGCAGACTGAACTTCACATTCAAAAAAAAAAAAAAAAAAAAGTTCACTTCATCACACGTTGAAATGTTAAATATTGGTCACGTAAAGTCGTAATCTAATAAAACGCGTCGACTTTAACCCAAAAAATAAAACTTGGCTTCTTTTACTGACCCACACACACTGACCCAAAAAATGTAAAATAAAAAAAAAAAAAAAAAAACAAATTTTTTAAATAAGTAAGAAAAAAAAAAAAAAATTCCTTCCAATCTACAACTACTAGATTTTGTGACATGAATTGGTAGTTATAGGTACTTGTAGCTAACCGAGACACGGGCTATAAATGTATAACTACGTACAATTATACAAGTACGGAGTACAATAAAATAGAAATTGAGTACTCATTAATCAATTTAATAATAAAAAGGGAGAATTTTGTCACACTTATCAATTGTGATTTGGGGTAATAATAGAGCAAGTGGAGATTCGATTGAGTTTGAGTTGCTCAAGCTAGACCCATAAGACATTCATTTAAACTCAAGTTAAGTCATAGGAGTTATCAGACAAATTTAAAATTTTACTACCTTCATTACATATTATTTGTAACTTTAAATTATTTTATATCTTATAAATAATACCCCAAATTTGCAAGAAAATATGAAACAGAGGTAGTAAGTTTAAATTACCGTATAAATTCAACTTGATTTTGATCATTGTAACATACATTAGACATACATGATACATTATGTTACACACTTACACTTATAGGATTTAGGATTTATCTTTTTTTTTTTATGCTACACTTATAGACATTGATCATTCGAACCAGGCCCGTTTATGAGATTTTGGTGGCCTAGGGCAAACATATAATTTGGGGCCCTATTAGTTTTAGAGTTGTAGTAGGGTATGCAAAACAAAAGATAACTGCTTCAATTTTAACTCCACGCGTCGAATTAGGAAAAATAAAAAAGACAAAAATAACAAAGCTCTCAAAAAGTGAATTAAAATTGTTTCTCTTTCATATATATTTAGCCGTGATGAATATGAAAAAGAAAAGAACTAAAAATATTTGTTTACTATTGCTCACTCCATCTAATATACGTGTATAATTTAAAAGTTAAAGCATAAAAAATAACGCTCTTGATTTGTTAACATTTTTTCTCGCCAAAATCCTACCCTATCTTTACGCAGGTGCATCAATTGCATTCAAATATTCAATCAATTTATTAATTTAGGGAATTTTTTGTTACTTTATTTTTATCTTAATTCAAATTCAAATTCCCCTCAAAAAAAAAAAAAAAAAAATCTAATTGACAACATAGTTTATCTTAATGAGAAAAAAAAAGGTAAAATTTATGTGTAAAATTTTACAAAAAAAAGGGGGGGGGGCAATAACCTTACAATAACAAAAAGCGATTCAACGAAATTATGAAAGAGTGAAGACAAAAGACTTAGAAACTTTTCACCCAAATTTAGATAAACAAATGGAACCAATCAAACAAATCAAGAAATTAAGAAAATTAAATAATTGTAAGAAGTAAAATTATACCGGAGAATCATGAACTTTAAAGGAGGATTAGATATAATTCAAGCTTTCTTGTAGAAAATTGAGACAATATATCACTGTTTATAACAATTTTCACTTTCAATTGATATAATTAGGGACTAGAGATCTATATGAAAAAAAAAATGAATATGGTCAAAATTTGGAAAGAGGGAAAGAAAGTGAGATATGGGGATTTGTTGCATGATTATTATAGGCATGAATAAATTCAGTTTTGGAAACTGAATATTATAGTATGTGCGAAAATCAAGGGTGAATAAAACCAATGAGAAAAAGAAATATTTGATATATACTCCATATCTTGATAAAAATTGATATTTTAGTCTTAAGTCTCTTTATAGCTTTGTATTTTTAGGGGCCTTGGCTTTAACTAAAATTGGTCTTCCTAACAATGGGCCCAGGGCAAGCGCCCCACCTGCCTTGCCCTTGCTACGAGCCTGATTCGAACTCAAGTTAAGTCATCCTTTTTTTTTGGTTTATTATTATAAGCTTCTCACCTAAATGTTGTTTACTATTTCACTCTTAATTTAAGTTAGATGTTACTTGTGTAATATATAGAATAAAATAATATAACAGAAATCAAGCTTGTTCACGAGATTCTTAAGCTGAGCTTTGACATGTTCGGCCATTAAAATTTCAAAGTTTTGGTGTGTTCCCCCATTAAAATTTTGAATTAAGCTCAAAGAGTTCACAAACTAGATGTGCTCATTAACACTATCTATGACCTATTTATGGTCAAATTACACATTAAATTTGTCTCGGGCATATATACTAAGAACTTTTTTCTTTCTTTCATTTTTTTTTTTGAAGGAGGCATATAAACTAAGTTACTAAGACAGTGACGTAGTGAACAACTGGATTCTTAAACATAGAGCATGTTTTATGTGCCATAATTTATACTCCTGCCTTGATACAACCATACCAAAATGCAGTATGAAAATTAGCTAAGAAAAGGTAAAACTCGATTTCAAGCCCTTAACTTCCTTGCCTCCTGCCTTTCCAAATACTTAAGGCCAGGCTAAGTATCATACTGACCCTAACACACTGAAACAATCGCGAATTCATAACACCTTCATCATGCTTAACCAATATCCTCCAAACCAGCTTCAGGGTTCGTGTTCTCTGAAGCATCAGCAGACACGCCAGGGATAGAAGAGAGCATCCCTATGCCTTCTTCCCTTAGTAATTGGTCAGGATGCCAACTTGAGGCCTGGCCGTCGAGCATAGTGGTGGAAGGTGGTGGCATATTGTAACTTAGAGGTGGAAGGCAGACATCTTTCGGTGAACCAATAAATAAATTTTCGAGCAAGGAATTGTCCAAACCCATGGAATGGTCACCTAGCTGATGGCTATACTCCCCTGCTTTGGACTCTGGCATTTGGATCACCTGTTGATCTGTATCAATCAACGAAAGCAGAAATCGAGTGATTACTAGTTTCTGAAACAGAAAATTTCAGGAACAGGATTATGTGACACTTCAATTGACAATGTAACAAAGACTTGAGATAACACGTCTTTACTTCTTAGTTCTTACCATTGACACAAAATTGCTGCAGACTCGAACATGGAACAGTGTTTGGGTTGATGGTACCACCAATAGGGATGTTAATTTGAGCCGAGTTATTCAGATTTGTGCAAACATCACTTTCTGTAAAACAGGAATTAGCATGTTGAATGATTTCTGTTGTGCGACAGCGGAAGCAAAGGTCGAAAACAAACAAGAAAACAATAAAGAAATTCAATGCAAACAATAAGAACAACACCAAGAATTTACGTGGTTCACTATCGATGTGATAGCTACGTCCACGGGCACCGAGATCGAATGATTTCACTATAAACTGCAAAGATTACAAAGATGATTCTTGTATTTCTCAAGAACGGCTTTCACTCTGTCTCTCTTAACCCTAATACTGATATTAGGGAGGTTTTATATTAATCCCTAATTAAAAGATACTTGGGCAAAAAGATAATAAAATAAGATAACCTAAAACCGCAAAATCCGCGTTCCGTATTTTTCCTTCTCCGCCCGGTCAGACCGGGCAAGGTCTGCCCGATCGGGCGCGAGAAGAAAACTCCATACGAATGCTTCAACGTATCCAACCCCCACCGCCCGGTCAGACCGGGCAAGGTCTGCCCGATCGGGCGAAGGCTCGCCCGGTCGGGCGAAGGCTCGCCCGGTCGGGCGCGAGAGCAGCTTCTTCAACGAATTTGCCAGGCACCTCTTCTTCTTCCGCCCGGTCAGACCGGGCAATGTCCGCCCGATCGGGCGGACAAAGCTACGAAGTACGAGTCACCTAATATACTTATCAACAATCTCCACCTTGACGAGAACTCGTAGTCAGCAAACGACCCCATCAAGACATAGTGAAAAAACATCTCAAGCCAAACCCGATGCAGGACTCATGCATAAGCCATACATCCCGATAAGTCTTCAACCAAGACCCATCACATACTCGTCTCCAAGTATAACAACTCATAATGCTCCACCTGCATCACAAGCCCCGGGCAAGCTCCACCTTAAGGCCAACACACCTACACCAGGAGCTCCCCAACTTCGCCCCTCAGGGCCTACTACATCACGTAGTAATCAATATTTAGCAAGTCTAAGCAATGTTTAAACTTGCTAAACGGAACAGGCTTAGTGAAGAAATCAGCCGGGTTGTCAGCAGTCCCAATCTTCTTCACCTTAATCCTCTTGTCAGTACGCAAGAAATGATACCTGACATCAATGTGCTTCGTCCGATCATGGTGTACTTGATCTTTAGCTAAGCAAATCGCACTTAGACTATCACAATACACTGTAGCAAAATCCTGTGCAATACCCAGTTCACCTACTAGGCCTTTGAGCCAAATAGACTCCTTAGCTGCAGAAGTTAGAGCCATATACTCAGCTTCAGTAGTTGACAACGTAACTGATGACTGCAATGTAGACTTCCAACTAACCACAGAACCACCCAAAGTGAACACATAACCAGTCACAGACCTCCTGGTATCCACATCAGCTGCATAATCAGAATCACTGTACCCAGTGACCAAGCATTCCTTATCATTCCCGTACACAAGACCAATATCAGCTGTCCCTCTCAGGTAGCGAAAAATCCTTTTCACCCCTTGCCAGTGTTCCCTCCCAGGTCGAGCCATAAACCTGCTTACAACACTAACAGCATGCGCAATATCCGGCCTAGTACAGACCATAGCATACATCAAACAACCAACCGCGTTTGCATATGGAACTCTAGACATATAAGACAACTCCTCCTCTGATTGAGGTGACATAGACAAAGACAACTTACAACTAACAGTAGTTGGCGTACTTATAGGCTTCGATTTTTCCATCCCAAAACGAGACAGAATCTTTTCAATGTAGCTTTTCTGAGTCAAGAAAAGCTTACCTCTAGCCCGATCCCTGTAGATCTCCATACCCAAAATCTTCCTAGCTGCACCCAAGTCTTTCATGTCAAACTCCGAGTTAAGCATCTCCTTTAATCTAGCAATATCAGATTTATTCTTTGTGGCAACCAACATGTCATCAACATATAACAAAAGATAAATCATGGAACCATTATCCAGCTTACTATGATACACACAGCAATCATATGAATTCCTGTCAAAACCTTGTGAAACCATAAAAGAATCAAACCTTTTGTACCACTGTCGGGGGGATTGCTTAAGTCCATACAATGACTTTAGCAATCTGCAGGCATAGTGTTCCTTTCCAGGAGCTTCGAATCCTTCGGGCTGCTTCATCAGAATCTCCTCCTCCAAATCGCCATGAAGGAAGGCCGTTTTAACATCCAACTGCTCCAGCTCAAGATCAAAATGTGCTACAATTGACAATAACACACGGATAGAAGTATGTCGAACCACAGGTGAGAATATCTCAACAAAGTCAACCCCTTCTACCTGACTGAACCCCTTAGCAACTAGCCTAGCCTTAAAACGTATTTGCTCAGTTTCCGACAACCCTTCTTTCTTCTTGTAAATCCATTTACAACCCACAAGCTTCCTCCCTTCCGGTACCTTTACCAGTTCCCACACTCTGTTCTTGTAAAGGGACTGCATCTCTTCACCCATTGCGGCAAGCCATTGCGCAGACTCACTACAACTAATTGCTTGTTTATATGTGGCAGGTTCAAATGACTCTACATCATCAGCTACACTCAATGCATAACCTGTCATCGCATCAACACAGCAATTTCTTCCCTCCATCTCTTCAATCAATCTAACAGGCTTCTTGATAACTCGTTTAGGCATCTCAAGAATGGTGTCAGGTTGACTAGATGACCCCTGATTAGATTGCTCCACCTCATCCCCAGAGTTAGAATGAGTAGGAGTAATCTCAGGTTCAGGAGTACCCGGCACTGGAACATCAGCATCATCATCAATATATTGTACCCGAGGTAAATCAGCAATGGTAGACTGATGTACCTCAAGTACCCCATCTGTCTGTAATAAATTGTCTCCTTCCCTTCTCAAATCTGAAATCTCTGCATTTTTAATTGAATACATGGTGTTTTCATCGAAAGTAACATCCCTACTAAGAATGACCCGACCCTCCGAAGGTGAAAAAATTCTAAACCCCTTCACACCATCCCCGTACCCAACAAAACACCCCTTCTTGGCTCGTGGATCCAGCTTACCCTCAATAACATGATAATAAGCAACACAACCAAAAATCTTCAAATTCGAAAAATTAGGCAACTTACCACTCCAGATCTCAAACGGAATTTTGGAATCAATTCCAGAATGAGGACCCCTATTAATGACATAACAAGCTGTTAACACAGCTTCACTCCAGTACCTCCTCCCAAGCCCTGCATTAGAGAGCATGCATCGAACTCTCTCTAGCAGTGTCTGATTAACCTGTTCTGCTACACCGTTCTGCTGTGGTGTCTTCCTGACAGTATGATGCCGACCTATACCCTCATCTGCACAGAACTGATTAAACTCGTCTTTGCAAAACTCTAGCCCATTGTCCGTTCGTAGCTTCTTGATCTTCCTTCCTTGTCGATTTTCCACCAAAGCTTTCCATTGCTTGAAAACTTTGAAGGCCTCATCCTTTGACTTAAGCAACCTAAGCCATGTGTATCGGGACTTGTCGTCAACAAATGACACAAAATAGTGGTAACCTCCCATACCTTCAACTCTAGATGGACCCCAGCAATCTGAATGGATGTAATCGAGCACTGCATCAGTAATGTGAGCACCCTTGCTGAACTTTGACCTGTGTTTCTTACCAAACACACAATGCTCACAAAATTCAAGGTTGGCAACCTTGACCCCGGATAGAAGACCCCTCTTGGACAATAGCTGCATCCCCTTCTCCCCCATATGACCAAGCCTCATGTGCCAAATCTTAGTCATCTCCTGGTGAGATACAGATGCGCAAACCGCAGAACTAGGCAGTGTAACACCCTCAAAAACATAGAGGGTGTTCCTTTTGATACCCTTAAGTACCAACTCAGAACCTCTGAAAATACACAACTCCCCATCTGAAAACACACCATTGTACCCCAAGTCATCCAGGGTACCCAATGAAATCAGATTCTTTCCTAAAGCAGGAACATGCCGTACATTAGTCAAAGTTAACCTCCGCCCATCAACAGTCCTCAACCTCATGGAACCAATACCTGTGACCTTACATGGAGCATTGTTACCGACTATAACCATACCCCCATTGCGAGGTTCATATGTATCAAACCAATCTCGACGTGGACACATATGGAACGAACACCCCGAATCTAGAACCCAGTTATCAGATAAATCATCAGACCTAGCAGAACTGACTAATGCTAAATCTTCCTCTGAATTATAGCTCTCATTCGGTTTCTCTTCAACTACAGCAGCCTGGGACTTGTTTTTCCTCACCGGACAATTATTCCTAAAGTGACCCGGTTCTTTACAGTAATAACATGTTTTAGTAGTAGTTTTACTAGATCCATCCTTGCCGTTTCCAGCACCCGACCCAGCATTGTTCCCCTTGTTAAACCCCTTATTCTTTTTAGACTTTCCGGACTTAACAAACAACCCACTACCATTATCCCCATTATCACTCGTAGCTTTCATTCTGAGTTCCCTAGTATGAAGTGCTGCCTTCACTTCTTCTAAGGTTATAGAATCCTTACCAACAACAAAAGACTCTACAAAATTCTCAAAGCTAGACGGTAGAGATACAAGTAAAATCAACGCAGCATCCTCATCATCAATTTTAACATCTAAATTACGTAAATCAAGCAAAATAGAGTTAAGTTTTTCTAGATGTTCCCGTAAGGAAGTACCTGACTGCATCCGGAGGCTAAACAACCGCTGTTTCAGTAATAATTTGTTGGTCAACGACTTAGTCATATACAATGACTCCAGCTTCAGCCACAATCCAGCCGCCGTTTCCTGATCAGCCACCTCCGTGATGATTTGATCATCAAGACTAAGTAATATGGTAGAGTGTGCCTTCTCTTCCATAACTTCTAACTGCGAGTCAGTCGGTCCGTCTCCTGACTCCGAAGTAGTACTCTTTGGAGCCAACGGACGCCATATCTGCTGTTGTTTTAACAGAGCCTTCATCTTAATTTGCCATAGCCCGAAACTATTTTTCCCGGTAAACTTCTCAATTCTTATTGTTGAATCTCCTGCCATTGTTATCTTCAAGAAACTCTCCAAGGATTGAACCTGAGCTCTTGATACCAATTGTTGTGCGACAGCGGAAGCAAAGGTCGAAAACAAACAAGAAAACAATAAAGAAATTCAATGCAAACAATAAGAACAACACCAAGAATTTACGTGGTTCACTATCGATGTGATAGCTACGTCCACGGGCACCGAGATCGAATGATTTCACTATAAACTGCAAAGATTACAAAGATGATTCTTGTATTTCTCAAGAACGGCTTTCACTCTGTCTCTCTTAACCCTAATACTGATATTAGGGAGGTTTTATATTAATCCCTAATTAAAAGATACTTGGGCAAAAAGATAATAAAATAAGATAACCTAAAACCGCAAAATCCGCGTTCCGTATTTTTCCTTCTCCGCCCGGTCAGACCGGGCAAGGTCTGCCCGATCGGGCGCGAGAAGAAAACTCCATACGAATGCTTCAACGTATCCAACCCCCACCGCCCGGTCAGACCGGGCAAGGTCTGCCCGATCGGGCGAAGGCTCGCCCGGTCGGGCGAAGGCTCGCCCGGTCGGGCGCGAGAGCAGCTTCTTCAACGAATTTGCCAGGCACCTCTTCTTCTTCCGCCCGGTCAGACCGGGCAATGTCCGCCCGATCGGGCGGACAAAGCTACGAAGTACGAGTCACCTAATATACTTATCAACAATTTCCTTCCACTTCTTTCGCGATACCTTGACAATCTACAATATACACATATCAAATAAAGTTGTTGTCCAAATTCTACTGTCTAAAACCGTAACAAGCAGTCTAAAGATATACTTACACGGCGCAGTGAAGATTCATCTGTGCGATACAGTGTTGTTTGGGTCCAATTTAGTCCAATTGGGCCTGGTCACTGAATGATCCAATTAAAAGCCCAAGGTTAAGGTTCAACTCTCCAAATGTGCTAAAGTCAAAAATCAACATCCTCAAAGCCATGTCAAGGTCAGTCAACGGCCCAATCAGCTTGGCCCAGCCCAACTGACTTCCGGGCCCAATCCGCCTCCTTCATTAGCCAAGGTATAAAAGCCAACAATTTGGTCAATTCTTGGTGAGACAATAAAGCCTCAAGCAACTAAACTCTTGCACAGCTTTCTCTCTCTAATATACTGACTTAAGCATCGGAGGGGCCTTCCTCGGCGTCCCCCCCGAGGCTAGTTTACGTGTATTTGTTGTGCAGGAAACCCTCGGCTCCTGCGTCGTTCGGACCGAGACCAAGTTCCCTCAAGATAAAAGGATCTTCCGAGATTCGATTGTTTTCATCCGAAACAATTTGGCGCCGTCTGTGGGGAACGCTACTAAATTTCGCGTCAGTCATCAAACACTCCGGCAGTCGCCATGACTAAGAGTGGAAAGAGTTCCAAGAAGGCTAAGAAGGGAGGAGGCCAGATTACGGTGAGGGAACGCCAGCCGGTTTATCCCTCCCCGGAGCAAGCCTCTTCCGAATCGGAGGCCCCCATTTCTCCGGAAAGGGAAGCCTCAAGAGGTCCTAGCCTCCAGGAGGAGAACACCTCGCACCACACTCGGCAGCCGGGGCCATCCCCGAGACCGAGTGGCTCAGGTGCGAGGAACTCCCCGCCGCGCCATAGCGTGCAATCCAGGTCACATCCGCGGGAGACTCCTCCCTCCGGACCCTCCACCGAGGAAGTGGCCAGAGCAGTGGCCATCTGCATGGAGTTCCTTAAAGCTCAAGGGGCTCCAATCCAGATGCCTGATGATCACCAGCCGAGAAACCTGAAAAGGAGGATCGGTCAGGATGATGGTGGACAAGTTCCACCACATAGAGAGCTCGGCCAGAGGTGGCGAGGGGACACCCGAAACTCCAGTAAGGAGAGGAGGAGGAACCCTCAACCCTCTGACCACTCTGAAGCTCAGAATTCCATGGGGCCCTCCAAGGACCCGGAATTCGCCCGCCAAAGCGTTCACGAACGCTTGGGTTCGAGGGAGGTGAGTGTGCATAGCCGCCTCACCTTCCCAGAGGATACCGGACCCCACCCAACCTTGTCTCAGCCGGGGACGAAAACCACTTCCACCTCTGAGAGAGGAGGGAGCGAGGTCCCTGAGGCTGGGTACAAGGGGAAGGCGGTCATGGTTCCATCGAACTCGCCCTTCCAGAAGTGGATTCTGGAAGAGCATGTGCCAACGGTCAAAATCCCGGCACATATTACTTACGATGGTACCTCAGATCCTAAGGATCACATTGCCTCTTACGAGGGGCACATGTATCTGAACCCGAGGTCTGAGGCTACCTGGTGTAAATACTTTCCTACGACCCTCAAAGGTGTTGCCCAATCCTGGATCACCAAAGGGCTCAAGGAAGGCTCCATAACCGGTTGGAACGACCTCTCCAACAAGTTCAAGAGCAAATTCTCTACGGCCAACCGCCGAGAGAAGACCACTGCAGAGCTAATGAGTCTGCAGCAGGCGGAGGACGAGAGCCTCCGCGACTATCTGACTCGCTTCAGCAACGAGTCATCCGGAATCACAAGCCTGGATCAAGGCCTGGCCGTGTTCGCGCTACGGAACGGCCTCCAAGCTGGAAAGTTCCTGGACTTCATGGTCATGCATCCCCCGCAGACCCTGGAGGAAGCCTTGGAAGCATCGGATAGGTTCATCCGAGCCGAGGAGTGGAACAGATCCAGGTCTCAGTCTCGTCCGAGAATTGAGAAGCCGAAAGGGCAGCAGCCCGAAGTCTCGGCGCAGAGGAAAGGGAAGGCTAAGGCCTCAGAACCGTCCTCTGCTGCCGAGCCGAAGAAGGAAAGACACTTTCCCTACACGGGAAGGTACGATTCATACACTCCACTCTCCCTTCCCCGTGCTAAGATTTTCAGCACGACGAAGGACGAGGGGAGATTCAAAAAACCTCGTCCGTTGCCTCCCTGGCATCAGACGAGGGGAAAGGACCATTGGTGCGAGTTCCATGACTCACCCGGACATCGCACCGAGGACTGCGTCCAGCTGAAGGACCAGATTGAGGATCTGGTCCGCAAGGGGTACCTGAGCCAATACCTCGCGGACAGGCGCGAGGAGAAAAAAGCTGAAAAAGATTCTCGGCAGGACCTCAACTTCGCTCGGAAGAAGGATAAGGGACCTCAGGGCAAGGAGTCCCTCGACATCCTAGTTATTTCCGGGGGAATCTCGCGAGGCACAGCCAAACGCCAACTGAGGGGTCTAACCCATCAGATTCATCAGGCTGAGCTTCGGCAGTCCCAGTCACCGGCGCCGAACATCCTGTTCACAGCCGAAGACTGTGAGGGGGTGGTATACCCCCACGATGACCCACTAGTAATCATTCTGGGCATCGCCAACCGCAACGTCTGGCGGACCCTCGTCGACGGCGGTAGCGGGGCGAACATCCTCTTCCGAGGAGCGTTCGACCAGCTGAGGATGGGAGCCGAGCACCTGGCCCCCGCACCCTACCCGGTGTCTGGATTCAACGGCTCTTCCTCGTATCCTGACGGGAAGATTACACTTCCTGTCACCATCGGCGAAGGCCGAGCAGCTAGGAATATCATGGCCGAATTTTTGGTCGTAGATGCTCCATCTGCATACAACGTGATCATGGGGAGACCCCTCATTCACGGCATTCAAGGAGTCGTCTCCACGTATCATCAAATCATGATATACGTTTCAGACGAGGGACGCTCCGAGAAAATAAAGGGCAGTCAAAAAGAAGCCCGCCTATGCAATCACCTCAAGCCATCCACGTCTCGCCGAGGCGACCGTGGCGATGGGGAGGAAAAGCACCGGGACCGAAACGCCAAAAAGCCGAGAGGCTCAGACGTTTCGGCTAATGAAGCCCCAGACAACGAGAAATCTGATGGGGGCCAAAAGGCTGACTCCGCCTCAGAGCCGAACGACTCCGATGGCCAGCCGCGGTCAGGAAAGTCTGCTAATATTGATAGCAGGCCGGAATTCGAGGAATCCAACTCTAAGAGCATGGAGACGGATGACCTGACCGAGTCAATAGAACTGACCGTAGGAGATCCGAACAGATGTGTTAGCATCGGGTCGTCACTGGAGCCAAACACCCGTGCGGCACTCGTCCAACTCCTACGGGCCAGTGGAGACGTGTTCGCCTTCTCAGCCGCAGAAATGCCCGGGATTGATCCGGACTTCGTCTCCCATAGGCTTAATGTCGACCCCTCCAGTCGACCCATTAAGCAGAAAAAGCGGAACTACTCCGCCGAAAAGAACCAGAACATCGCAGCTGAGGTCGATAAGCTCCTAGATGCTGGGTTCATTGAACCCTGTCAGTATCCGGAGTGGCTGGCCAATGTTGTAATGGTTCAGAAGGCAAATGGTAACTGGAGGATGTGCGTTGACTTCACGGACCTGAATAGGGCATGTCCCAAGGACTCCTATCCGCTGCCGAGGATCGACCAACTGGTCGACTCGACAAGCGGGCATGCTCTGCTCAGTTTCATGGACGCATTCTCGGGATACCATCAGATCTTCATGCACCCCGAGGACCGAGCTAAAACAGCGTTCATAACAAGTTCCGGGTTGTACAATTACAGAATGATGCCCTTCGGATTGAAAAATGCGGGGGCAACATATCAGAGGTTGGTTGATCAGGTTTTCGCCGAGCAAAAAGGCCGAAACATGGAGGTTTATGTTGACGACTCAATCGTCAAAAGCATAAAAGAAAAAGATCATGTCACGGACCTAGCCGAAACCTTCGCCACCCTCAGAAAATACAAAATGAAGCTGAATCCGAAGAAATGTGTCTTCGGCGTGAAGTCAGGCAAGTTCCTCGGCTTCATGGTCAGCAAGAGGGGGATTGATGCAAACCCCGCCAAAGTACAAGCTGCTTTAGACCTCCCCGAGCCGAAGACAAAAAGGGATATTCAGCGTCTAGCCGGGAGAATGGCTGCCTTGTCCAGGTTCATCTCACGAGCCTCAGACAAAGGGCTCCCTTTCTTCAAGGCGCTGAAGCTCCAAAATTCAAAAGGCATTGAATGGGGAGACGAACAAAAGTCAGCCTTTCAGCAGCTCCGTGAACACCTGGCTCAACTCCCAACACTGGCAAGGCCAGTCGTAGGAGACATCCTATACTTATACGTGGCGGTCAGTCCAGCCACGGTAAGCGCGGTGCTGCTAAGGGAAGAAGAAAAAGTTCAACAGCCGATCTATTTCGTCAGCCACACCCTGACGGATGCCGAGACGCGCTACCCATTGTTAGAAAAAGTGGCTTATGCAGTGGTGGTGGCTGCTCGGAAGTTGCGACCCTATTTTGATTCTCATCAAATAGCGGTTCTAACTGATCAGCCGTTAGAGAAAGTCCTCGGCAAGGTTGAAAAATCCGGTAGACTAGCAAAGTGGGCTTTCGAGCTCACCGAGTTCAGTATCGGTTATCAGCCGAGAACAACCATCAAGGCGCAAGCCTTGGCAGACTTCTTGGCCGAGTGCTCCTATCAGGAGACTCTGGATGCAAGGAGGAAAATCTGGACCGTCTTCACGGATGGGTCCTCCACCGTGAACGGTTCGGGGACAGGGGTCGTCATCACCTCTCCCGAAGGCAAAACCTTCGAGTATGCACTAAAATTTTCATTCAAAGCCTCTAACAACGAGGCCGAATATGAAGCAGCCATTGCTGGCTTAGACCTGTGCATATCGTTGGAAGCCGAGCATGTCTACCTCAAGACAGATTCTCAGCTGGTCGCCAATCAGATCCGGGGGAGTATGAGGCTAAAGAGCCTTCAATGGCAGCTTACCTCACAAGGATCAAATCGACAATTGCGAAGC